TTGCAGTGGTGCACTCCAGCCGGGGCAGCAGTATGAGACTCTGTCTCCAAAAAAAAAAAAAAGAAAAAAAGAAAAAAAAGAAATCTGCTTAACTCCATCCCAGGAATATCCTGCAGGAAAAATCTCTCTCCATGCTGGTCTGGGAAATGCTGGTCTGGTGAGATGGGCACAAAGCCTGTGGCAGAAGAGCTGGATTTGAGTCTGGCGAGGTGCTGACCAGCTGTGCAATCCTGCAGGCACCACCCAGGCCTCGCTTTCCCACCTGCAAGATGTCCTGTCTGCTCACAGGTACGCACAAGCCCACTCTCCGCAATACACACCAGGGCTGTCAGAGCAGTTATCTACAGGGTGGGTCAGCAAAGTAGCTCCTCTGTCACTCAGGGCTAACCTACAGCAGCCTCGACCTAGGCCCTCACTCTCCCTAGGCTAACAAGGGGTGAGGGGCTCCTCCCAGCTGCCCAGGGCCCAGGAGGTAGGAGCTGAGGACTGCGGGTGGGCCCCCCTTCCCTTCCCACCTCAGGAATGTTGTTTGCTTACAGAAGAAGCTGGAACTTGTTTCCATTAGCAGTATTCCAACCCAAGCCTGTGCTGATGCTTAGCAGATAAGAAAACCAGAGAGGGACTTAGTGCCCGGGCCTCAGAGCCTGCCCTGTCTGCCGGCTCTGCCTTTGCCTCGTCGAAGCGGGCATGGAGGGAGGCTCAGGTGATTGCTGAAAGTCCAGGGAACACTGAAAGATGACAGCATTTGCCTGTCCAAGGGAGGGCCTGTGGTCACTTTCACTTTGCCTGGTACCCAAGGAAACCCAGGCTACCAAAAACACCATCAGTACGTATTTCAAATCATGTTGTACACGATGGATATAAACAATTTTTGTCACCTTAAAAATTAAATGAACAATTTATTTTTTAAAAAATGACACCAGACACCAGAAGGTGGTATATAGATTCCCTCTTCCTGCATGGGAAGGGGTGGGGGCAGTAGCTTGGGACAGGCTGGAGGGGATAAACTGGGGCAGCTAACCCAGGATCTTATCAGCCATTTAGGAATGTGGACTTTATTCTAGGGATAGTGGGGGAGGAGCAGAGGTGACATCATCAGATTTGTATTTTCAAGTAATTGGTTGGGCGCGGTGGCTCATGCCTATAATCCCAGCACTTTGGGAGGCCGAGGCGGGTGGATCACGAGGTCAGGAGATAGAGACCATCCTGGCTAACACGGTGAAATCCCATCTCTACTAAACAAAATACAAAAAATTAGCCAGACGTGGTGGCGGGCGCCTGTAGTCCCAGCTACTCGGGAGGCTGAGGCAGGAGAATGGCGAGAACTCAGGTGGAGCTTGCAGTTAGCCGAGATCACACCACTGCACTCCAGCCTGGGCGACAGCGCGAGACTCTGTCTCAAAATAAATAAATAAATAAATTGGCTGGGGGTGCACAGTGGCTCACACCTGTAATCCCGGCACTTTGGGAGGGCAAGGCAGGTAGATCACGAGATCAGGAGTTTAAGACCAGCCTGGCCAAGATGGTGAAACCCTATCTCTACTAAAAATACAAAAATTAGCCGGGCATGGTGGTGGGCGCCTATAATCTCAGCTACTCGGGAGGCTGAGGCTGAGAATTGCTTGAACCCAGGAGGCGGAGGTTGCAGTGAGCCAAGATCGTGCCACTGCACTCCATCCTGGGCGACAGAGCAAGACTCCACCTCAAAAATAAAAAAAAAAGAAATCATCCTCCCTTACCTGCACGGAGGGGACAGTGAGAAGTCAGTGGTTAGAAAGTACTGGGGACTTACAATGAGGGAGCTTCCAATCTAAGAGAAGAAAAGACAGTTCCCTGACCAGGCTAGATGGAGAGTGATTACATGACACGAGAGGGACAAGTGCAGACACAGATTTCACCCTCTCATCTCCTACTCCAAAGAGCCTGGCTCGAGGAGAGTCCTGAAATCACCGTCCTACAACAGTGAGAAGTAGCCCAGGAATCCCAGGAGCTCCAGGGCCAGTGTTTCCAAAGCATCTTGGGCACAGATCTCATGCAGGATGTGTCACATGGACTACACAATAAAGTGTCCAACTGGGTGTCCTCCAGTAAGATACCAACCTCAGGACCACAGAGACATAGCTTTGGGTCCTCAGCACAGAAACCATTTCTGAGTCGCTCTGTTGCCCGGGCTGGAGTGCAGTGGCACGATCTTGGCTCACCGCAAACTCTGCCTCCTGGATTCAAGTGATTTTCCCGCCTCAGCTGGGACTACAGGCGTGTGCCAGCACGCTCGGCTAATTTTTGTATTTTTAGTAGAGACGGGGTTTCACCATGTTGGCCAGGATGGTCTTGGACTCCTGACCTCAAGTGATCCAGCTGCCTCAGCCTCCCAAAGTGCTGGGATTACAGGCGTGGGCCACCACGCCCGGCCTGAAACCACTTCTTAATGAATAAATCAATCAACCAGTGAGCCAGGGCAGAAAGCGGCAAAAGCTTGAGGCCAGCCCTGCCATCACCCCAGAATGACAGCCCACCCAGCATGGATAGAAGCGTGCCTCCCACAGCATTTATAACCCCACTCCAACTCCTTCCACCAGTGCCTCTCAACCATCTTTCCAGCCACACCTCTCTTGCCCCCTGCTAGAACCCTCCGTTCCAGTCACCAGAGCATACTCCCCAGAGCAGCCTTTGCTTCAGCTGTCACCCAGAGACAAGCTGGAGGGCCCATCTCCCTAATTCTCCACAGACTGAGAGTCCCCAAAACCAAGTGGACATGCCATCTCCCCCAGGCAGCCTCTCCTAGTATGAATTTCTCACAGTATGTATTACCCTAGTATGAATTACTCATCCTTCTCCCTCCTCCCCGACAGGCCCACCACAATCTGCCTTACACCAGAACCATGGCTTCACTGCCCGTGTCCTCCAATGTCTCTTAGAACTCTCTAGAGGTGGCCAGGTGCGGTGGCTCAGGCCTGTAATCCCAGCACTTTGGGAGGCCGAGGCAGGTGGATCACAAGGTCAGAGGTTCGAGACCAGCCTGACCAACGTGGTGAAACCCATCTCTACTAAAAATACAAAGATTAGCTGGGCGTGGTGGCAGGCGCCTGTAATCCCAGCTACTCAGGAGACTGAGGCAGCAGAATTGCTTAAACCCAGGAGGCGGAGGTTGCAGTGAGCCGAGATTGCACCACTGCACTCCAGCCTGGGCGACAGAGCGAGACTCCATCTCAAAAAAAAAAAAAAAAAAAGAACTCTCTAGAGGCAGGGACTGTCTCCCCACCCCTCTTGCTCTTGCCCAGGGTGCTGCAGAGGAGCAGCAATGCTTGTTGAAAATAACTGAATTGCTCAAAATGCTTACAAGTATTTTCTGGGAACCTGGCAGTCCAAGAAGAGAATGACCACTCCAAGGGTAGCTGGAGGGAGAGATGGAGGGAAGGAGGGAAGAAGGAGGAAAGGAGGGAAGGAAGGAAAGAGAGGAGGAAACAGGTTAAGCAGCTTTTGCCCCACGTTAAGAGGTCAGGCAGACAGACCTGGGGCTGGATCTACAGATAAATCATCTACACTGGGCCCTTGGCTTTGCTTTTAATTGGTTCAATATTTGCACAGTGACATCACGCCTGTGCCTTACCTACTCAATAATGAGCTTTCTCTCAGCCACCCAGGAGAAATTGCAAAGAAAAGCAAATTGTTTCAGGTACGGTGGGGGCGTCCCCTCCTAAACCATGAGGGGCAGATGATCCCCTCTGAGTTGCCCCCAGGTTGGAAATGGCTGACAGGGGAAGGGTTTGGTTGAGTTCACCGAGCACACCAAGCATGTCCCCCTCCAGATGGTATCTCCCCAGCTGGCTGGAGGCTTCCCACACCCCCAGGAGGGGCAACTTGAACCCTTCAGATTCCTGCAGCAAAGTTATTCCTTCCCTTAGCTTCTGCTGATAGAATGGTTTTTCTTTCCTCAAGCATGTGAGCACAGTTTGCCGAAACCCAATGCAGAAAAATAACCATACTCAGAAGATGTAATTACATGGCCCCCGTCTCAGTGGGAAAGTGCAGCATGAGGGCTTTCTGAGTCCACATCACGACTGCTGAGAAGTGCAATCGGAGACCAGAAACAGAAGACCCCTTTTGAAGGTCACCCAGCCTAGAACCCGTCAGACCTTCAGTAGCTTGTTATCTTCTGAGTGATATTTAAATAACACGAAAAAAGCGAACGAGAAGCCACTTCCCTCTAGTAGCCATTTCACCTCTAGTCCTCCGGGTCTGAGGGCTCCAAGGCAGAGATCAGGTCACCACTGCATCCCCAGTGCCCCACATATGGGAGGTGCTGAACTAAAGTCATGGGAGAGGTTCCCATCTTCCCAAAGGTCCAGTCTCCAGGGACCAAGTCCAGTCAAATCCGTGTCACTCATTCTTAAGTGCCTGATGTTAAGTCCAATATCGTCTTCCATCTTATTGTCCAAATAGAGGCATGACTATCGTGTGGCTCAGGTCTCCCCTGAGGACAGACAACAAGGGCCACCCACAACAGGCCGTAGCTTCTCTGTGGCCATCCAGGGCCCTCACCCTCTGTCCCATCCTCTGCCTCACTGATAACTATATCTGCCGTACACTAATCTTGATTTTGTTTCCGAGAGACACATCATTGGCCAGGGGTCAGCAACAATCTTCCTGAATTGATCAAGCGGTCATTGCAGTGGACTCTGATTATGGACTTCAAAAGGAGAGGGACCTGCTAATGGTGATTATTCACTTACAACCTTCACAGAAGACATCTGAGGACGAGCCGCAGCCAGGAGGTGGACGGGCTGCATGTGCAAGGCAAGAGCCACCACTTAACTAACAAACTTTGCCAGCTTGACTCGGGCCCCAAGCCTCAGTTTCTCCACCTGTAAAATGGAGCTGATCCCAGCTACCCCCACGGACAGCTACAGGGAGCCCCAGCGGGTCTAGCTGACAGCCCCCACCCCCACCCCCACCCCATCAGCCCCTTCTGCATTGGATCGGAGTACCGTCTAACTCACAGAGCCACTGTGAGGACAAAATAAGCTCCCAGAGCTGGACTCGGGGCAGCCCCGCACACCAGCCCCTCCCCCGTGATCTTTGCGTCCTCTCAAGACAGCCTGTGTCGCCACTGAGCTCACAATGAGTCAGTTACAGACGCTGCCCTCACACAGCTGCCCTCACACAGCCCACTTCGAGGGTTTGAAGTCACATCCTGCCTAACCCAACTCGACATGATTTATTCCACCCCAGGAATGTAGCTCATTTCCCAGAATTTTGTTAAGCCCTTTAGTTAAAGAGTCTGATCTGGCAAGGGGCTCCCTTTACAGCCCTGGCTGAACACGCAGCTCAGCTCGGGCCTGGAGGCAGGAACCACCCTAAGTCAGGGCTGCCAGAGGCGCCAGGGCATCTCATGCTTGGGGCCTCAACATTCATCTCAAGCTATAATTTTTATTTATTTTATTTATTTTTTTTTGAGACAGAGTCTCACTGTCACCCAGGCTGGAGTGCAGTGGCACGACCTTGGCTTACTGCAACCTCCACCTCCTGGGTTCAAGCAATTCTCCTGCCTCAGCCTCCCAAATAGCTGGGATTACAGGCATGTGCCACCGCACCCAGCTAATTTTTGTATTTTTAGGAGAGACGGAGTTTCACCATGTTGGCCAGGCTAGTCTCGAACCCCTGACCTCAAGTGATTTGCCCGCCTCGGCCTTCCAAAATGAGCCACTGCACCCGGCCTTTTTTTTAACTTTAATTTAAAAACTTTTTGTCACAAATACAAACATGTCTAACAAAACTGTCACAATGTGACATACACATGCTATTCACTCTGACTCTTTTCCATTCAAGTCTAAACATACTGGTTGCCGGCCGGGAATGGTGGCTCACGCCTGTAATTCCAGCACTTTGGGAGGCCAAGGCGGGTGGATCACCTGAGGTCAGGAGTTCAAGACAGCCTGGCCAACATGGCAAAACCCTATTTCTACTAAAAATACAAAAATTAGCCAGGCGTGGTGGTGGGCACCTGTAATCCCAGCTATTTGGGAGGCTGAGGCAAAAGAATCACTTGAACCCAGGAGGCGGAATTTGCAATGAGCCAAGATCCTCCACTGCACTCCAGCCTGGGTGACAGAGCGAGACTCCACCTCAAAAATAAATAAACAAACAAACAAACTGGTTGCCACTCACTTCACCAATGAATCTCACTTGAAAGTTTTTGAAAAGCACCACCCTGACTTATCTACGCTAGGAAGCGGAGGCTCAAACGATCTGCCCAAGATCACACAGTCAGGCCAAGCAGAAACTCAAGACCAAAGCCAAAGGGAAACTCAGTGAGGGGTGGGGGGTCGGGGGGAGCATCCTACTCCAGGCAGGTGAGAGGCAGCTGTAGCTACCGGATCGCCTGACACATTCATCTCGTGACACTGACATCATTTGATCCCACCATCCTTGGCAAAGTGAAGGGTCATGCTGCCCCTCCCCCTAAAAAAGGAGAGCGCCTCAGAGGTTCAGGGAGGCTAAGTGACTTGCCTAGGTACAGGGCTTCCCGGGAACATCCTTGCTGACGTGCAGGTGCAAGAGCACAAGAACGAAAGAAGAGCCCACCTTCCTCAGCATCCAAAGTAACAAAGATCAAGTCTGGCATCAGAAACATCGCCCCTCCCATCTCCAAGCCCAGCCCTACACGGAAGAAATACCCAGAAGTGACGGTGTTCTAAAGGCTTACATGCAAGAAGGATCATCAGGGAGGGGAAGGCCACTGTGCTGGAGCTATAGTGATGAGCCCCAGGAAGGTGATCCCCACATACTCCTACCCCTGGGGTGGCACAGCCTAGACTAGAACAAACTCTCGTCCTGATCCTAACGGCCCCCGGGCTGCATCTGTTACGCGACACGCACACATGTGCACACTCTACAGATGGAAAACCCAAAGCCTCTATTTGTCTAGGTCAGTGGTCAAGGACCCCTTTGAGAACTTGTGAGAGGCGGTGAATGCCTTGCATACCACGGTAGGGGGCTCGCAGAGACTCTGCAGTGCAGTGCACGGACTTTTAGGAGTCCCCTGGTCACAAGCTCAAAGGTAATGGGGCACTAGAGCGGCCTCCTTTTCTACCAAGGCAACATGAACAAAGACTTGAGGCGAGATCTCTTCCTTCGTCACCCTCCGGAGGGTTAAGGAGGATCTCACTGAGGAAGCAAAGCTGTGGGCAGAATAGCCCAATAGTGAGAGTCCACGTGGCACGGGAGGGAGGCTGACTCTTCTGCGCTGCTCTGGGGTGCCCTGGACTCCAGGGACAAGAAGCCCAAAACTGAAGGGTGAACGGTCTCTCCTCCCTACATTTCCATCCCTTGGTCCGGTTCTCAGCTGAGCCAGCACACAGCCAGCCCTGGGCACACAGAAGGCATGGCAGGCAGTGCCAAGCTTTCCAGAGAAGCATCCCAGAGCCTCTTGCATTCCCCGGGGGAAATGATCAAATACAAGTGAGGATGAAATCCACTTATTTCATACTTTACAGAAAAATTAACTTATCACTCCTAGACTGGGTTACAGCAGCACCCTTGTCTGAAAGGCTGGCCAACCCCAGTGTCCTTGAGCAGGGAGCCTGGCCGGCAGGACGACCTTACCACGTCCTTCCCCAGAAACGTGACTACCGCTTACCTTACCACCCACCAAGCAGCGCTCCTTTGCCCAGGCCACAGTCTGCTTTGAAAGTGGCCAAAGCTGTTAGCTGCACATGAGAGAAGGAAGCAGCAGTAGCCCCTGCCCTAGAGAGCTGCCAGATTTGGGCCATGCCATCCTGCCCTGGACAGAGCCCCAGGCCCCCTCCTCCCCTTCCCACTCCAAGATGTGTGCATAGAGACTTGCACACACACAGATACACGTGCACACAGACACGTGCAAAGATCTGTGCACACAGAGGTGCAGAGACATGCACACAGAGACCTGTGCACACAGACAGGCACATATACAAACACACACCCACAGATGCCTGCACACAGGCACCCCAGAGGATGCTGGGATATGGCTGAATGTGATACTCCAGAGTCAGGCCAACCTGGAGGTAAGCACTGGATTCTCCTCACTGGTTCAGGAAATCTGGCAAATTACTTAAATGTCCTGAACCTCCCTTTCTTCATCTGTACAATGGGAATGAAAAAGCCCACCTCCTGGCCAGGCGCGGTGGCTCAAGCCTGTAATCCCACCACTTTGGGAGGCCGAGGCGGGTGGATCACGAGGTCAGGAGATCGAGACCATCCTGGCTAACATGGTGAAACTCCGTCTCTACTAAAAATACAAAAAACTAGCCGGGCGTGGTGGCGGGCGCCTGTAGTCCCAGCTACTCGGAGGCTGAGGCGGGAGAATGGCGTGAACCCAGGAGGTGGAGCTTGCAGTGAGCCGAGATCGCGCCACTGCACTCCAGCCTGGGCGACAGAGCGAGACTCCGTCTCAAAAAAAAAAAAAAAAAAGAAAAAGCCCACCTCCCAGGACCCTGCTGGCAATGAAATAATGGTCACTTGCACTTTATTCTGAGTGCTTTTCACCAGGAATCTCACTTTACCGCACAGCATCCTTGTGAGGTAGGTTCTACTGGTATCCTGTTTTGCAGATGGGGAAAGTGAAGGCCAGAAGGCTTGCTTGCTGAAGGGCACACAGGTAGTAGCTGCTGGTGTCTGTACCCTGCAGGTCTCATTTGGGGCTCTGGGTCTTCCATGCCTAACCACTCTGCTCCACTGCCTCTAGGGGTGCAATAAGACAGCGAATGCACCCAGAGCATGCGGCAAGGCTCCACATAGGACCTTGTCAACAGCAGTTGCTCCAGGATCAGGAAGGGAAAGCGCAGAGGCGGACCCGCAAGCTTTCCAGTCGCCCAGGGCCAAAGCAGCAGTATCTGCCCTCCGGGCTGCTACCAACCCCCACCAGCAGACTCACTTTTAACCCATTTTCTCTAAGATAACAATGCCGGGAGGTGGAAGAGTGTTATCTCCCCACCCTTACCCCTCCCAGCTGTCTAGATCGCCCTAAACAGCCAGGAATTTAATGAGCCTGGAGTTGTCTCTGACTCCCAATCACAACCAATTCGGAACGCCCCAGGTCCTGCAGCACAACAAAGGCTGCCCTGCAAAGCCCCGGAAGAGCCTGCGAAGCCTGCCCGGTCCGCAATAGAGCATCACATTCTTCAGATTCTTGTGTAAACGCCAGAAGTAAGGCAAGGGGGTGGGGGTGGGGGGGCTCTAATTTCAACCTGAGGGTCATTAAAGCCTGTGACTTGTATTAAAAGGGAAGAGACCTATCCCTCTGTACTATGCTGGTCCTCCAAGGTGTATGATACTGCACAGGTCTGCACACCCGGACCTCACAACCCAGAAGCGCCCTCAGCCTAGCGTCTCCGCTTTGAGGACATCAAGGCTCCAGGACACACAGCTGGTCAATGGCAGGAGGGATTCTGCCAGACTGATCTCCAGCATCGTACTGGTGGCCACTACGTCTTTCTGTCTAACATAGGTTTAAAGTTCTAGCCAGAGAGTCCGCAGAACTAACCCCAGGTAGAGTTCAGGGGAGACGTCGAGGTGCTGATGGAGACTTGTGAATTCCACAGTGCTCAGCAGCAAGTAATTAATCTCATGACGAGGCGTTTTTCATGAGCACTTGGCATTATATACCCACCTCCCCCTCGCCCTGGCAAAGGCAGGAAACAGTGGGCGGCAGGCCGGCTCTGGGCAGAAGGCGGGCTGAGAACGGCATGCTGGTGGGCTAGGAAGGTACAAGGGGGTGGTATCCATTCTTCCGAGGGAGAATAGCAAAAATCCAGGTTCCCCACAAGGACCAAGCTGACCAGACCTCACACCAGCCTGTCAGCCCTCACCTGCTGTCTACCCAACAGGTCTCTTAGGATGGAACAGGGAAGGCTGTAATTTACACCTGGTGCCATAAAGCCAACTAGGTAATGCAACCACTGCTGTGTGGCTATGCATGGAAGTCTACAAAAACCCAGTTTCACAACTATTGTCCATAAAGTGGTTGAAGTGGGATAAGAAGGCAGGAGAAGCGATGGAAGTAGATATGGAAAATAACTGGCCTGAAAATGAG